GAGAGGGGAATTCGGCTAATAGTCGTGCCTCTTCATGATCTTCAAAAACTCCTGCTCGTTCACTACCCCGTCTCCATCCAGATCAGCTTCATCAATCATCTCCTGCCAGGCAGGAAAAGAATCCAAGGTCAAGCGTTTGCAGAGAAGAGGACCAGAGCAAGTTTGATAGAAGGAAGCAGGGAGGAGGCGGGGGGGACGACCCTTAAAGGAGGAGGGGAAGAGAGTTGGGCTTGGCACCCGTGCCCAGCGTTACGGGTAGAAAAAGTCCTGGTTAAATAACTCCAGTTAAATATCTGTTGGGGGGGAAATGATGGGAAAGGGGATTCTTTCCTTCGCCCCCCCCCCTTCCATCATTTATGGACTTTCTCCTCTTTGCTAAATCGAGCCACCAACTTCATGCTTTTCCTGGAGACAGATCAGGACGGGACTAAAGGCAAATTAGGCTGAGTCCTGTTTGGGCGTACCTCCTAACAGACCTCTCTGAAATCAAAATTGGTAACAAGGTGCACTTAGCTGCAGCTGTCTGAGACGCATGCTCTGCCACACCCCTCTGTTTCGTGAGAGCTACTCTGGATCTTGACACACACACCCAGACCCCCTCCTTGGTAGATACACGCTGCGTGGAGGGGCAACCCCTGGTCCACGAGGCAGCCACACCCTGGACACACACACCATGGCAAACCGACCTGCAGTTCCTCATCCGTCAGCTGCTCCCCAATCTCGTGGGCCACGCGCTTGAGGTTTTCAAACGAGATTTTTCCACGCTCCTGGTCCTCAAACAGCTTGAAAGCTTTCAGGATCTCCTCGTCAGGGTCTGTTTCAGACTTCAGAAAAAGACGCGAAACAGAAGCTTGCTTGAGCCTGGGAATTCCAGCATTTTGGGGGACACACTTAAAAATACAGTGGGCTTATGGGCAGGGTCTCAGCACGGGGACACCTCCAGGCCAGGGCCACAGCCCTCTCAAAGTTTGGTGCCAAGTTTTAAGGAAAGCGGTCCCACCCACCATTTTCCGAGTCATCACAGAGTAGAAGGCATCAAAGCCGATCTTCCCTGAGCCTTCCTTATCCACGTCAGCCACAATTCTCCGGAGTTCTCCCTTGGTGGGTTCAAAGCCCAAAGCCCTGATGGACACCTGCAAATGTTAAGAACAGGTAAGCGCCAGGAGGCAAGAGTCAGGCACACGGCAAGTAAAGGAGGATGGGCAAGGGCCTGGCACTCTGGAAAACCTCTGCGTCACCCCCTTGAAGATGACCGCCTCTACCGCTTTTGCAGCTGAGCATCTGAGAAGGGGAGAGGGCAGGAGGCCCCGGTGGCTTTTCAAGAGGATCCCTCTGGCTGACCAGAGAAGGGGGAGAGAGCAAGGCCTCTGACCCACCCACCCCTGACGATCCTGTTGTTCCTTCTCTCACACTGTCCCTTGTTTATGGCAGCCTCCTTCAGCCCCCTGGTGCTCTCTGGATGCCCTGGAACAAAATCCCCATCATACACGGCCAATCCCCTCTGGAGGAAGCAGGAGGAGGAAGGACTGTGACGGAGACCATCTGGAAGGGGGGGGGGGGACTGGAGAAAGCAGGAGGAGGAAGGACTGTGATGGAGACCATCCGGAAGAATGGGGAGGGGGCGGGAAGATTACCACTCAGTTTAAAATGAAAAGTGTGCCTCAAAGGCACACTGAAGCCAGACTGCTAACAGGGGGCACAGCAAAGCAGTCATATTTGATGAGAATGGAAACAACCCCGTGGACTCTCAGTAATTTTCCAAAAGGAGTTCAAAGCCCCGTTTCTAATCCTTTCAGGCCTCGTGGAAAAAAACTTGCCCACAGGGTGGACAGGGTTGCAGAGGCCCCCGCTTCTCCCCTCTCTACGCAAACAGAGAGAGGATCCTTTCTGTGTATGTGTGGAAAAAAACCTTGGCTAGCGAACGAGCTATTTTATTTCTTTCACTGTTTATGCATTACCAGCACCTTGTGAACCCAAGAAGGTCTTTAGCCAGCAAAGTTTTGGTGAATTTATCAGAATCAAAACCCTGCATGAAAAATACTGGAACTGCCATAGATTTTCACTTCTCACGGGACAGAACATAAGTCATTCTTAAATAAAGATTAGCAGCATAAGCAGGTGGTGGGAACAGCAGAGGGGAATCCTCGGTTTTAATCCCCTTCCCAGCGCCTCAAAGAGGCAAAGGCAGTATTTCCTTTTCTTCTTATAACCCTAAAGGGAACTAGCTAGAAGTAACTATGGTAGTGCAACGAGTTACTTCCAAGCACACTCTCTGCACTCCTGGCCCCTCGTCCGTCCGACATAAAAGACCGCCTGGGGGACTCGCCTTCAGGTCCTTGACGTTGATGGTCCCGGTGCCGTCGGCATCCAGCAGGTCAAACGCCTGCCGCATTTCCTGCTTCTGTATCGTACTGAGTTCAAGTTTGGGGCCCATCCTTCTCCTCTGGGACCCTCCTGCCGCTGATCGCTTGCCCAGGGAAGCCTGGAGGCGAGTTGACCCCAAAGCAAGAAGCACATTAAGCGAGAGGTCCCTTCTCTGGTTCCCAGCAGGCAAAGCCCGAGGGATCCCCAGACCCACCCACCACCGCCCAAGGTGGGCCAGAGAAGTGCCCTGCTTGCCGTACCACCGCCCCCCTGCCCCCCCCACACCCCGGTCTGTCACGGAGGAGGGGGCCTCCTCCCACGTGGCCTCCTGAGGTCTTTCGCTCCGATTCCCACCTGCTTGAGAGATGGGATAAGGAAGGGACACACAGGAAGGAGCCTT